AAGGAAAGTTTCCCAAATGGATCAAGGTAGAAGGTTTATCCAAGATTAAAAGCCTAAATCTGAAAACATAGCTTTGTGTTGTCCACAGACAGACTAAGTTCTGGAAGACCAAAAAAAGGCAGAGCTGCTTAGGACTTTCACAAAAAAACACTTCAAGTATCCTATGAAATCACTGTAGAGAGACCAGAGTTATTTAAAAAGGATTATTTATTAAACGTATTTCTTTACAAAGTACAATCAATGGTTTGCATTAAATTTTGGATTTTGGTATTTGCCTTTATGTACACAAAAGCTTGTAACAGAAAATATGTCTTGATTTTACACATGGGACACAATACTGAGTTACCTTCATATTTTGATTTCTACCAACATAAGCAGTTGATAGTAACTTTCAGCTTATCTGCTGGTTTTTCTAAACTGAAGATGAAGCAACAACATTTCTGTAGAGTGTCAGTATTTATCAATGTACTCAATTATGACAAAGTAGAAATGAGTTATCCTTTGGGAAGTTTCCACTGAGCATGAGTGGAACTAGACATTTTTTGGCAGGTTACTGGACTATTCTTATGATCCTAAAAATCATTTTTTGCAGTTATAAGATAAGAAGAATTGAGGAGCTAGGTAAGTTTAATAATACCCTATTAGCAGCAGTTGATAGTAAATGCAACATAAGGTTTGTTTTGTCTGTCATACAAGGACGTGTCCGAGCAGACACTATTGTATTGTTCTCTACTTGAACAAAAGTATCCGCCTGTATTGTATGTCTTTGGAAAAACAAAACAAAAATAAAGAGACAAAAAGCCATTTATTGTCATGAGTGACTATTGCCATCAGCTAATATGAATGCATTGCTAAAATTAGTGAAGACAGGAAAATGCTGTAAGGTAAATATATACAGAGTTAAAATACATTTCTTATCCACTAGATAGTGATTTTGTGGCACTGTGGTTTTCAGAATATAACGTCTGTTGAGAGCAATGTAATTTTCAGTGCAAGCTAAAGCAAAAATACCTGCCCGCTGTCATAAACATGACAAACAAATCTGGAATGTTCAAAGTAAGTTTGTCTTCCACTTCTCCACTCTTGAGGCACCTTTAAGACATGGCACTTACTGTAAACCATCTAAAAATCAAGAAAAGCAGACACAATAAGCCTGAATTTTCCATAACAATTTTAAAAATCACTGCCAGAGTCACTTGCATACGTAAACGATGCCCGTGTAAGGCTTGCCAGCAAAGCATCTTTCCTGAGAATGGAGCTGGGACACTCTGTGTGTATCATAAGTGTGCGTGCTCAGAGCTGTGATCACTGTCATGGCTGTCGTCGTTCGCTAGTGAGTCCCCCGTGTGCTGGAGACCAGCTGCGCTGATGCCAGAGAGCTCGGAGGGGAGCAGCGTGCCCTTTTTCACATTCACCAGTTCCTTCTCCCGGGCCGCTGCCCCTTGCTGGCCCCCTTTTACCCGCTTCCACTTCATTCGTCTGTTCTGGAACCAAACTTTTACCTTTGCAGAAGAAAGACAAAACAAAGAAATAAAGATAGGTTCATTAAAGGTAATAATAATGACCTTTCTAGCTGTAGCACAGAGCTTGGGCTTTTTTTCTTCTTTTTTTAATGTGCCTTTCTGTCTGTATGGTGAAGCAAAATAGCTTAGCAAGCCTTCCCTGAAGAGCAGGCAATCTGGATTTGGATAGGACATGAACCCTGGGGATGTGAGGATAACGACTGCAAAGGAGGGAAAGGAGTTTCCACAAGAAGGCAGCCGGGCTACCTGCAGCAGATAGCTCCACAGGAAGGTCTCAGAATCCTTTAGAAAACATTAAAAAGTTCACATACTCTTGAAAAACATATTAATGTCATTTCACAGGCAGAGAAACAGAGGGAAAATGGTTCCCATCAAGGGACTGCGCAGAAGAACCTATGTTTCATGTAATAGAGAGCCTGGTCTGGTGGCAGGGACCCATACGGCTGTCCCTCATCCTTATAGTGCTTATAATTACCCTTCAAAGGAGGGAAGTTACTTTGGAAAGGAGCTTGCACTGAAAAGTTTGCATTGCTTTCTGCCTGTTTGTTTCTCTAAACTGGTGGTGAGTTTCAGGTGGAACCCTTTAAAGATATTTTTTTTTAACTTGCTTAAGTATCTGAAAGAGCATTTCTTACTGTCAAAACTTACGACTTCCTTGTCTATTTCACAAATATATTTAAATGATTCTAGTTGACTGATCCTCGATTCTACTACATTTAGCTATAGACCTTGGTCAAATTTTTCAGACAAATGAATACTCCCAAAGCCAGAGGGCAAGGCATTTATAAATATGAGTCAAAATCAGCAAATAATTTTAGATGAGAATGGAAAAGAAATTCATAGCATGAAAAATTAAAAATATATCTGTATTTAAGTCACATTAAACCCCAAGATTTTACTCCAGCTGAAACTCATTTTCCCTCCTCCCCTTCTATGTATAGAAATATATGGGGGGGAAGTAAACCTAAATTATTTGCACAGTTCTAAAGTACCAGCACTGCAAACCACAAGGACTTTCTTTTCAATAGCCAAAGGAAAAGAAAAAAAAATGTGCATAGCATCTGTCAAATATATTAGACCAGATTAAAGGCTGATTTCAAATCAACTTAAAATATTGTCACTGAAAACAATATGAATAGAAGATTGTTGGGTTTGATCCATTTAGAGTTAATGTTGCTAAAAAATCTCGTGCGTGTGTGCCTGTGCAGCTCTTCACATGAAGGTTCCCCAGAAAAATAAACAATGTCTGCAACTTTTCACTTGGAAAGAAAGCAAGAAAGCTGCAATGTTGGTGTATCCTCTGCTGCGTTTAGCAGAATGTGTTTCAGAGTTTTAAAAGAAATAGCAAGGAACAGTCACAGCAGGACATATTGTACAACATGAGTAATAGAGCCACAAAAATGCTGTTTTGCTGAATCTGTCTTACACATCCAGGAAACATCACAGTGTTTAACCTTTACTATCACTTTTAATTTTACATTAAAATTTTACTACAATTGAACTGATAGTTAACATCACTATCTGTATGTACGTATGTGGGAAGGAAGAGAAGTATACTTATTTTTTTGTACTTTATATTCCTGTTAAAGCCAATGTGAGGTGTTAAAGCCAATCACTTGGGAATGGAACAAAATGACTCCAGGTTAGTTAAGAGCCTCAAAGCACAGCATATCCTTTCCTTTAGTCAACTCATCAGAGCCAAAGAATCTGGCTTGTAAAGTGAAATGAGTGTAAAGGGGAAGGTATTTATTACTGGCTGCTGTGATGTTGGGAATTAACCATACTCGGGTCATGTATCAGAGGTGTCCATGGAAACAGTGTCTTCAAAAGGGCATTACTACAGCATTGGCAGCTTTCTGGGGGAAGTTAAGATGTCATTTTGTTTATTTTTGTTTTTTTTTAAGACAATGAAGTTTCTCTGGCAAAACACACTACTCTACTGGTGCCAGACAGTGAAGTAGATGCAACTGCAGTCATAATCTAAACATCAAAAATAATACACTTTGGATTCAACCCAGTACCACAGAATATTATCATGCTTCTTTTGAAATAAGGGCTGAGAAAATTTTATTTGGTATGAAGAAATGACAGGATTGGAGTGATGTTTAAAAGATCTAAGCAATTCTCCAGATATTTTTATGTCCTTGAACATTCACAGAATAAGTCACAGCACTGAAAGCCTAAAACAAAAAAATGATGTATACAAAAAGTAGTTTCAAGAAAAATGACAATGATGCATTTGAAGCAAAAATTTCAATGCATAGCCTGGATTCAACCCACTTTAACTTACTGGAAAAGGAGATATCCAGGCAAACCACCTTTCGCATGCATCGTTTTGAATACCTGAGAAACTGAAGCTAATGCTCTTACAGTCATTGTCAGAAACTGTTCTGGCTGGGACAGATGTGAGCAGGATGATTACTGCCTGGCTTCTGATGCAGGTGCTCCTTTCTGTTCTCCTCTCACAGACAGACCTAAACTCTCACATCTGCTGGCCTGACATTTTTTGACTATTTTCTACTCCAGTTTAATAAATTATTCTTTTTTGTTTTCCATTTTTTTCTTACAGTATTTTATTGCTGCTGCTTTTTACAGTTCAAGTCACTTCACAAAACCAGAGTCGAGAGCAGTCTCTCTGTTTGAGCGTTAAACGCAGGAGAACTGACTGGCACCACCTTCCAGGTAACGCGTAGCCAAGGACAGGCTGGGGAGTACCTCTTCGTTCAGATCACCTACCCTCAGACTAGCTCATCCGACCATGCCCCGAAATGCCTCCACCAAGGGTAAGTCTAGGTCAGAATCTGTGCATTAGTTGATACAAATCGGTTAAAGGCCAATGATTTCCCTGTTCAAGAATAAGCGCAATATGCATTTATAAATTCCTCAGAGGATCCAACATGCAACACTACGTCTGCACATGACCCACTGTCTGGGAAACACGGCATTTAAGGGATGTAGGACTGAAAGTTCAGCTACCTTTGCATGCATTCTCTTGTGTGAAGGAAGAAAAGAGTAACCCGGGCACTCCCATAGGAGAATATGTACTACCCACTGGCACATAGCCTGTCAGGCTTCACATAAAGAGAAAATGGTATCAGTTTTTAAAAGAAAAAAAAAAAATCTATGTCTGATTTACTCAGAGAATATCAAATAAGAAATTTCTTTATTTGGTATGTCAAAGATTATTTTCAAAATCTAGAAATCAATTATAGTGAAGTTTATCATTAAAAATATTATGAGTTTATTTTGATGCCATTTGCTGCATTAATGTACAGCAGGACTCTTATATGAGGGAATACAACGTTAGGGGTTTATACATATGTGTATATATATATATTTATGTCTTCCATTATAAAGTAGTGAAATCCACTTTTGGTCTGATCCAAAGCACTCTATTGTCAATGCAAATTTTTCCATAGAGTTCAATGGACTCTAGATGAAGACTTTAATGCTCATGTGCTAATAATATGAGACAGATCCTTCACTTGTTATTTCCTCTAGAGATCAAATTCAGATATTGGAATTCTGAACTTCCTTTGGAGCTGAAGAGTCAATGACGGAGGGTATAGTTGTTACTGATATGTGATCCATCTATATTTTAGTAATGGGAAGGAAATGAAGCAAACTTTGTGTGAAGTACTGCAGAGTGTCAATTTATCTGGATTGATGGAAAACTGTGCTTTTCAAACACACAACTCATTTGAAACTTACAGGTGTTGCACAAAACATGCATGAGAACAAAACACTCTGAGAAACGAAAAGTAGAGAGGAGAAAGAAAGAGAAGAAAGAACAAAAGAAAGACAGACTTAAAGAGAGAAAGAACAAGAGTGAGAGAAAGAAGAGAATGGCTGAAAGAAAAATAAAGAAAAAATAAAATTAAAATTAAAATTAAATTTTAGGAGAGAGAAAAAGCCCTTTCTGATGTGAACTTGAAAAACTCTTGAACTTTTTTCCAGTGAAAGAACTAGCTTGTGCCATTTACAACTTTTGCAAAAACAATATCCTTTTAAAGTAGTTCAAAAATCTGCTATGACAAACTTGATACCATAGGTTTTATGAACCTTTTCAAGTCTAAGTTAGCTACAGCAGGAGCTGAGAGTGCTTACTACCTCCCAGAATCAAGTCCTGATTGCCTATTATTTTTTAAAATGCACTCTATCTTCTCCACCTTCCGACTAGCACAACTTAATTGTATAGAGCAAGCATATGTATGTGTGGAAAACAAAGGAAGTAGAGGGAAATGAACTATATTAAAGATGATGGTAGCATTAACAGCTGTTTCTAAATCAGCACTTACAAGCCAATCTATTGAGCACATCTGCTTACTGGCACGAAAGCACAGTTTCTTTTCCCTTAGTCAATGAGTTGTTCAGCATCTGCATCTCCACATAATGATGATTAGACTGTTACTTAAGACACGAGTAAATGATTTCACATTGCGCATCTCCTGATGTACAAGTTAAATGTTTTTGCTGTGACCAGTTTATTTTGAGGTCTACTCTGTAGGAATCACGGGAGGACATTCAAAACAAGGAGGTTGACATTGCTAGTGTCTACATTACTAAAGTAGTCATTATATACTTATGATATATAGGTCCTTAGTAGGCTTAAGGGCCACATGTGCTGTCTTGCATGTGTATCTTTAACACAACTTGGTGATGTGGACATCAACACATCATTTTTGTTCCAAATAAGCATATCACCTAAACTTCTGATTTAATACTCCTTCTTCAGCAGAGCATTTCAGCCACATTAACTTTAAGAAAATTGACTTATACCATGCTCTGTAGAATGCACATGCTTCCTTTTGATATGGGATTTTAGCATTCTGTACTTACAGAGAAAAGCTAAACAGATACCTTCTATAATTAATGAGTATTTCTTTATAATTTCTTGTCTGAAAAATTGAAGCATGGCTGAACTTAGACTACCTTAGTTGCACTGTCTCCTGTCTTTCTCCTTTTAAGAAAAAAGACAT